GATGACATAGACACTGTGAAGCACCTGTGTGGTGACTGGTTCCCCATCGAGTAAGTGTTGGGCACCTGTGTCCCAGCTACAGGATGCAAGGGTGAGGGGAGAACATGTATCCACAAGTGCTGAAACTGGAAGAGGACCCATCAGCCCATGTTGTCAAAATGTACAGTTAGGAGCAGGCCTGGAAGGGCCATGGCAGTCCAGAGTTACCAGGAGGGCAGTGGAGCTCAGCCCCTGTGTCTGTCTGCTCCACGGCTCTTCCCACCTCRCCTCCTTTCTCATGTGAAGTTCCCCAAAAGAAATCTGCTCAGAAATTTTAATTACAGATATGTTCAGTGAAGTGCTATATATAATGCAGAGGTCTCTTCTCAGAACTTGATGGGCCTAAGGCCTCAGGCTCTCAGAAGGTGGAATGATGGTCTGTGCACTGTGAGATAGCAGCACTACATTCTGACCACAGGGCCAGCTGTGCACCCCTGGAGCTCGGAGGAGCTTGGGCAGTACTCAGCCCTGTGAGGAACTTCTCACTGGATGGTTGGTGTGGCCTTTGCAGAACTGAGTAGGGCAGAACGCTGTGCCCCTGTATCACGTCCTTCTGCTCTTGGTCTGAAGAATGTGTCCAGTCTAACCTGTTAGGTCTCTCCCATCTTTAAGAARGAAAACCCATGAATCCCAATGCCTTCCCCCGCCTGACCTGTGCTGGATCTGCCTGACATGACCACATCCTGGGCCTTTGCATGAGGTGTTCTCCATGTTCCCCTGGGGGTGGGGAGTGCATCTCGGCTTTCTTGGTGAGCAGCCCTAATGACATGTTGCCCTTGAGGTTGTGTTCCCCCCTTCTCGCCYGTCCAGGGAAGTTTTGGAAACTCAGAGCCACCCACCTGTGAATTGGCTCTTCCTCAGATCATTTCCATGAGTTTTCAGTGCCAAATCACCCAGTGTCCTGGGTTACCAAGAGTCCTAAGATCTCAGCTTGCCCAGATGAGAAATAGGCCACCTTGTGCTTCCCTCCATGAATTGCTCCATGGAGACAATTTTATTGGAGTTCTCTTTCCTTTCTCATATCTTAGATCTAGTAAAATCATTTTTACATCAGCAATTCCCATTCCTGCCTGGAATGTTGGCTGCTTTTTAGAAGAGAGCTGTGACAGGTAGTTAAGTGATGGCCAGAGCCCCACAGGCTCACCTGAGTGTGTCTTTCCCCAGGTACCCAGACTCATGGTATCGTGACATCACATCCAACAAGAAGTTCTTCTCCCTTGCTGCGACCTACAGAGGTGCCATTGTGGGAATGATAGTAGCTGAAATTAAGAGCAGGACCAAAATACATAAAGAGGATGGAGATATTCTAACTTCTCTGTTGACACACAAGTTGCCTACATTCTAAGTCTGGGAGTAGTGAAAGAATTCAGGAAGCATGGCATAGGTAAGGGGCAGTGGGCTTATGTTTTGGGCACCCTTCCCCCCTCAATTTTGTCACTTCCCTTGTCCTGATGAATCCAGCTTCTAAATGATCCCCAGTCACCTCCTCCTGCCTGTCTTGGGTCAGACCCACATTATCTCTCTTCCCAGCACGTCTCCCACCCCACTGGCCTTCCCCATACTCTTTCCACACATCACAGGCCTTTCCACAGTAGCTTCCTTCCCAAATCTGTCACAATTAGATCAGCATCTGCTCCCAGGTGGCCTCACAATAGACCAACCCTTTTGCCCCTCCTACTACCACACACAACAACTCTGTCTGTTAGCTAGACGCTCTCTGTTGAGAACAGAAAACATAAATGAAGAAATAGAACACACCAACATTTATCAGATGCCATGTCATCAAATTCCCATTCCACTCGGTCACAACAGTGAGCAGCAGTCTTCATTTTGAGCTCAGGGCCTCCAGTTTATTCTTTTCATCTAAAAGATTGGTGTGCCTCCACTGTCTGTCCAGTCCACAGGAGGGCACCTCCAGGCCACGCAAGTGGGCCACAGTGGTCTGCAGCTCACAAATTCCATCTGGCCATGAGCTTTCACAGTGGGAGATGACAGGAGGCTGGGATCTGATCTGARCACAGAGACCTTGGACTCTCACAGAAGTCACAGCCCCATCCTCATTGCCCTTTCTAATTGGCCTGCCGTGCCAGGTATAATGGCTCACACCTRTAATCCCAGTGACTTGGGAGGCTGAGGCAAGAGGATCATAGGTTCAAGACCCAGAGGTTCAAGACCAGCCTGGGTCTTGAACCTATGTCTTAGCAAGACCCCCAGCAACTTGGACCATGTCTCAAAATAAAATAACTGCTTTACTATGTGTAACCCTCATCTCCTCTCTTAAGGTTCCCTTTTACTTGAAAGCTTAAAAGATCACATATCAACCACAGCTCAGGACCACTGCAAAGCCATCTATCTGCATGTCCTCACCACCAACA